GCACCGACTTGAGAGTCCGGTAACATACGGATGGGGACGCGCTCACGAGCCAGAGAATCGGCCCGGTGTTTTATCTCACGGGCACGGCGCATAGCTAGCTATTGGACAAGCAGCTTGGGGAGGGTTTTTTCTTTTGCCTTTGTCTTTTCTCTTTCTACTCCTTGGTTTCTTTCAACGTCTCAGAAGGCTGTTCCCCGGAAAGCTTTTCTGCAAGTGCTGATGCTGGCGCCGGGTGAAGTGGCCGGCCTTGATCAGGCTTGATCCTCGGGCCAACCCAGCCGCAGCCAAATGGAATCGCGTGCGGGGGGCGTCGTTCACAGCTTCCAACGCTCGAGGAGTCTTCACGGCGAAAGAAGGCAGGAGAGAGGATGGCCGCCACCGCCCAGGACTCATACATGGAGTCAGTTCTGACCGGCTGCTCCATTTTGGTGAAGAGCGAGCGCGCTCCTTTTAGCCTGTCAGCTGCACAGATTTCATCTTGAGGGGTTGGAGTCTTTCTAAATCCAGAAAATCTAGCCGTCTATCACTTAGCGAAAGCACACGAGGTGGTATTTTTAGAGCCAGAGGTTTTGAAGGGAGTTGACTGTATAAGGAACATTTCCTGCTACATTTCATTATTTCCGGCTACAACAGCTCCCTCAGGAACACGAACATTTCACGTAGTCACCCTAGCGTTTAAGCCTCCTTCTTGGAATCCTTGTTCCAGGTCAGCACTTGGTGGTGCTACCTTTCCTTTTTCCCGGGACCCTCATTCGCTAATTAATACCTTCCGTGTATTCCTTTTCCTACTGAGGAATTCGACTAGCTTCCGCCATGAACAGCAGCGGGAGAAGGAAATGCTCTCTCCCTCACTAAACATTTAGTCTACCAACTACTGCTTGCTTTCGGGCATTACCTGTAAATCCTCTTGAGTTGCTTCAGCATGCCCGTGCTTGCACTTAGAGCCACTTTTGTGCCCCTGAGGCCCGCTGGAGGGTCTCCGGCTAAGGGCCTCAGCTGAACCTTTTGTTCCCTCCCCCTCCTCCAAACGTTTCCATGGAGTGTCACTAAAACTGCGGCCCCTTTCAAGTAAGAACAAGTTACCGAACGCGGGTGCCTTTAAGCAAAAAGAAAATAAAAGGTCGAGAAAGCTGCTGCGGCCACACTTCGGGGTCTTGGGCCAAAAATGGAAACCCATACATCTAAGACGAAGCAGACTGTCGGTAGAATTCACTGCGAACACTGTTAACCAAGCCGTATTTCTTCCGGAAGCCTCCCAGCGACAAGTCTCCCCTTCTCGGACGCAAGAAGAGCCGATGGAGATCAAAAACAGAAAGAAGAAAAGCCACAACCTCTACCGACGAAGAACACAAACACTTGCTTAAGCTAAAAACCAAGAAAAACGCACGAAGGAGGTTATCAAAAGGCGTCGCAAGTGCTGAGAAGCACAAAAAAAAAAAAACCAAGGAAGGGAAAAAAAAAAAGCATAAGCTAGAGAGAGAGGCGAAAGTAACTGTCTCTCGTCTCGACACCCCCAGGCTCTGCAACCGTCCCTTAAGAGCATCTGTTTTTGCGGCACGAGTATTTTGTCCCCCGAGGGGGTGCACCGTTCCTGGAGGTACTGCAATACCAGGTCGATGCGTGGAGTGGACGGAGCAAGCTCCTATTCCAACTCCCTGCCCCAAAAATCCATTTAATATATTGTCCTCGGATAGAGGACGTATCAGATATTAAACTGATAAGAACAGATACTACACTTGATCTTAGCCAAAAGGCCGAGAAGCGATACCCGTTGCCTCCGCCTGGCCGCAGCCGCCCTCGCTCCAACCCCATTCAACCCACGGTGAGCACCCTGAACCACACTCCTTGTCTGATTCCTTTTGCGTCGTGGACAGTGCTGTCATCGGACTCCTGTGCAGACTTTTTTGTCCTCTACCTTTGTAAGGACAAGTTCTAGGTCCTTAACTGTTCCGTCATTCCCACGCCGAACAGCCATTTCTAATCTGCATGCTCCGCCTTCTGCCGCCCGAGGGGGCGCGGCTACCGCGGGCGGACTCCACCCTCCGGACCGCCTCCTCGCTCCCCGAGCCCGCACCAGACCCGGAGCCCGCCTCCCGGCCTCCTGGCCCCGTGCGCTTCCTGCCGCAGACCCCACCTAGGGGCGGCTGCCGGAAACAGCGAGGGAAGCGCTGACACGGAAGCAGCTCTCACGGATCGAGCCCCGGAAATCAAGAGCTCGCTTTTGTCGCTCATTCCCCGGCTCGCGCTGCACTCGCAACCATTGCCCCTACGCGCTGAGCTAATGCCCGACACCCGTCACGGTGACCGCGGCTCTAACGGCCAGCACCACACCCCCTCGCCCCTCCTTGCTCCGGGCCGCTCTGCTCGCGTCCGTGTCTCCCGCCGGTCTTCTGCCCGACAGTTCGGGCCCCCTGGGGCGGCGGGGTGGGGGTGGGGGTGGGGGATTCGTCCTGAGAAGGGATGTCCTGGGGGACAGTCGTTGGAATGAAACACTGCCCGTCGCGATCACTTGGCAGCTCCGTTTCTCACTGCGTGATGCGCTCCCGCGGAATTTGCTCCAATCCGGGTGCACGGACTCAAGGGTCTGCGAAGCGCGCCCGGCCCCGGGGCACGGCGCCCTGCGGAGGCCGCTCGGGTGCCCCTTGTGCCCTCAAGGCGGTGCGGGGCCGTGGCGGTCCCGGCCACCCTCGCCGCAACGGAGCCTTGAAGCCCGGGAGATCGGGGGACGGTGACTGGAAGAGCAGGGCAGGCGTTCTCCGGCAGCGCCTCGTCCCCCAGCCTCGCCAACAACCCCGCGTGGCCTCAGACTTGGGACTGCTTTTTCGGTGGAGGGTGGGGAAAGCGCGAGGGGTGGATCTCTTAGGAGCGAACGGTGCTTCAGCCTGGCTCGGATGTGCGGTTTTCTCTCCCAGGTAAATGAAGTTGAGGCTCCCCTCCTGTTTCAGAGAAGCCTTTACATTTTCTCTCTGTGAGCTTTTTAATAACCTCCCTGCCGGTGGTCTTCGACCCTCTTCCCTATTCCTGCTGGCTTTTCGGTTGGGCTTTGCTTAAGGTGATGACGATTGCATTGTTTAACGGTTCCGTTTTTATATCGTCATATTTATCCATTTTAAAAAGATATCGTTTCCATTTTGAGCCGAAAGGGCTTATGAAATAATTTCCTAAATCTTCCTCTAGGTCGTCGTCGTCGTCGTCGTCTTCTCCCTCAACATCTACATCGTCCAGCCGGGCGGTGCTTTCCCGGGGTTGGGTGGTGGTGTTCAGTCGCGCCCGACTCTTGGCGACCCCATGGACTGTAGGCCCACCAAATGCCGCCTGTAAGCCTCAACGGCATCCCATGTGCATTTTGGAGTCATAGGCCTGGACTTGCCTTTAAAATGTAGCAGAACTCACGGA